AACAAATACTCTATAAGAATTGTTCTAGTAATTTGAGTTACTGTAGTAACGTCAGCCTATACCTAACAATACCGTACTCGCGCGAATACGCGCCCAGGCGCTTAAAATATATTTTGCACTTTAGGAAGGGCGCTTATTCAAACGGGGTAAAAAGAGTAAAATTGGAAGTATACTGTCTGTCCAGGGATCGGAACTCTCATCTGTCTAAGAGAAATATCCTCATTTTGATATTGACCTAAGAATAATGTGTTTCCACTCTGCTGCTCAAATCATGCCAACAACCACAGTCCCAAAATTGATTGGATTATTGACTTGCTAAAAAGAAAATCTTATGATATTATTAAATTAGAAGGGGTGCTTATTCAAACGGGGCGATTATTCGCGCGAGTACGGTATGCACAATTAAATAGCAATAATATTTTAATAACAATAATTTAACAATAAAAAGTAATAATAATGAATTTATATATGATTAATAAATCAAAAACAAAGAGAAACCCAGACAGGTATTTGTACAGCTAACCTAGCCCTAGGCCTACTTACTTAGTTTAGAGCAGGGGCTTATGCGTACTACTCATGCCCTGGCTTTTATTTTTTTAGGCCTGCCTATACTTGTCATTCTAGGCTAGCTAGGGCCCTTAATTGAATAATAATAATAATATCTGTCTCTTATACACATCTAGATGTGTATAAGAGACAGTATATAGGATGGGCTTATTTTCGAGGCTACTTTTTCAAAGTAAAGAGGGTAACTTCTTTTCAAAATGAATGCTCTAAATTTTGGGAATTTGTAGGCCTACTATAAAGCAATAAATAAGGCCACTGTAACATCATGGATTGTGTTAACTGTCATTAAATCACCTAAACTACTGTGTAAAACAATCTTGTTCTTAATTTATTTAAGTTCATGTATGTAATGTAATGTACTATCTCAAAAAGAAGCTTATTTAAGCTCAATTTAAAAGAAGCCCATGGGCTTCTTTTCGAGGCAAATTTTGCAAACTAAAGAGGTGGGGAGCTTCAATTTGAGATTGTTCTTCTCAAGATTAAGCCCATTGGACTTCAATTCGAGGTTAACGGTATAATAATTTTGTTTGATACAGTATGACAAAAATATAATATATTATATCTTGAAAAATATGTATTTTGAAGTTCTGAGAGAAATGTATGGCAAAGAGTAGCTAAATTGGTTCATATTGTTTATTAATATTATAAATGTTGTGCAATTGAAGATTTAATTTAGGCAAAACTACAGTTCAAACTTGTTGCGATTAACTTATCATTAAATTAATTTTATTATTCAAATGTAAGTGATCTCAATGAGTTTAAAATTTAATTTATAAGATTATTATTGAATGCCAATAAATAACATGAATAAACTAATTGTCTGGCTGTTATAAAGTATACACACCGTGTTGTGACTTGGAATCCCTTCCCTTGGATATTGTTGCCAAGGTCCAGCAAAACGAAAGCGTAGGAATTTGCGATTGTGGACTTGCTAGTGTTCCTGGCCTTGCTGTGATTGGTAATAGTTGTAGGTACATTTTGGAGACAACACTGGAAACGTTCCAACTCATGTCATTATAACAAACCATGGTTCATTAAACACGAATTTACTTTATTTGTACTTTAGGAAAACTCGCTTTCGTTCTGTGATTGATTTGGATGATGGTATTTTGTTCTCTAGAGGGCGCACAATGAATATAGGTATCAGATAGGTATAATGAGGGAACAGTGAAATTACTTAACTGTTCCCTGGTATAATACAGTTAGCGGCCTCCTGTATAGTTTAATTCAATTTAATCTTTTTAGCAGTCGAATGTAACTATATTTATAGATTATTTTTTATGATTTCACTACTTAATATTCAATTTCATATTATAAATACTGTAATAAAAAAAAAGCTTTTTTGTTTACAAAATCGCTTTAATTGGGTTAATTGTTCACTGCGCCTTTGATAATATTTTTTGAATTGGCGCATTATAAATTTCTGCATATTATTATTATAATTATTAATTTACTATTTTTAAGCAGTTCTTTAATCGTCGCCGATAGACCGAGAGTGCCCCTTGATGGGAAGCATTCTTCAATTAGGCAATCCTGCCATATAGACCCTTAAGTAGCCCCTGTTATTTTTGCAAATAAATGATATGTGACGACCAGAAAAAATTTATTATAGGGTATATGCCCTAGTCGGGGGAATCAGACCGCCTCCCCCGCTGTCTCTTATACCCATCTAGATGTGTATAAGAGACAGTTCCTGTCCCTACAGCGTGATGGTATTAGGGTGGTACATTTCACAATGGTCATGCATCACTTCAATATTTGTGTTTTGTATTTGTTATTGCGTATACAGTACAGTAGGCTTATCATGTATATGCAATTAAATACAAGAAAGAAGTGTTGGCATTAAGACCTGGGGCTTTTTTTTTAAACAAATATACCTAGTCTCCGAAGGGAATCAGAAGATTTTGGCATTTCTATATTGTTTAATTAAATTGTTTTGTAAACATTATACTGTGCTGCAATTAATAATCATCACCACCACACAGCTGTTATAGGCTACAGGCAAAACTAAAAATCAACATGAAATTCAAGTGTCAATCAACTTTTTATTTAATAATTATCTGTCTTTATCATTCAAAGTTCACAAAAATGTAAATAAACAAATACTCTATAAGAATTGTTCTAGTAATTTGAGTTACTGTAGTAACGTCAGCCTATACCTAACAATACCGTACTCGCGCGAATACGCGCCCAGGCGCTTAAAATATATTTTGCACTTTAGGAAGGGCGCTTATTCAAACGGGGTAAAAAGAGTAAAATTGGAAGTATACTGTCTGTCCAGGGATCGGAACTCTCATCTGTCTAAGAGAAATATCCTCATTTTGATATTGACCTAAGAATAATGTGTTTCCACTCTGCTGCTCAAATCATGCCAACAACCACAGTCCCAAAATTGATTGGATTATTGACTTGCTAAAAAGAAAATCTTATGATATTATTAAATTAGAAGGGGTGCTTATTCAAACGGGGCGATTATTCGCGCGAGTACGGTATGCACAATTAAATAGCAATAATATTTTAATAACAATAATTTAACAATAAAAAGTAATAATAATGAATTTATATATGATTAATAAATCAAAAACAAAGAGAAACCCAGACAGGTATTTGTACAGCTAACCTAGCCCTAGGCCTACTTACTTAGTTTAGAGCAGGGGCTTATGCGTACTACTCATGCCCTGGCTTTTGTTTTATTAGGCCTGCCTATACTTGTCATTCTAGGCTAGCTAGGGCCCTTAATTGAATAATAATAATAATATAACGTATGATGTAAAATGTACTCACTATAAATCGCGTAACATAATTGGTCAATTGTAAATATGACGTCATTTTTCTAATTTGCATAATTGATTTTTCCCAACATTTTTTTCCATTAAAAAAAAGTGCGTAAGTTATGGAGATGGGAACAATCAAAAATCGATTACAAATTTAATTCTACATTTCTTGTACTACGGAAAGCGAAAATAAACCCTCTTGGCCCACGGCGTATTACTTATTTTGACACCATGACCATGCTCTGTTTAGTCATGGTGGATCAGGGGTAGTAAACCCGGCGATCGTGGGTTCGATTCCCACACGAACCATTTTTTTTAGGTCGTGGGTTCTATTCCCACACGAGCCAGGTTTTTTAAAAATTTTTTTTAATTTTTATTATTGGCTAGTATTAAAGGACGTACTGTGTATTTGGTACGGTAACACAACACTCCTCACTCCTATATTTCTTGAGGCAAACTCAGCATTTTTAGTGGTTGTTATCTGGCTAGATAAACTGGAGGTCGTAAGTTCGATACCCACATGAACCATTTTTTAAACATTTATTTTACTGGTCAGTAATTGGGGGCGTACTGAGTATTTAAAAAGTCCACTGATTAATCTCAGATAACATAGTATAATACATGACCATGCGTAATTGACCCACAGCTGTATATTACATCTTTACATTCTTTTAGTTAGACCTATTTTTGATTATTCCAGTATTATTTATACTGTAATTCTATTTCGTTCTTACAAGCCCATCGGATTGAGAGAGTCCATTCTAAATTTTTATATTTTTTAAATCACAATTTTAAAAATGACAATATTGTTTCATACACTTTTTCCTCACATAGAGAAATATATTTGATATGGTTTTACTTTTTAAATGTGTTAATTCTATTTTTGATACTACTTTATGTTCTTTATTCCCTAGTAAGATTAATAGACCCGGCTCCGGCCGTCGTAATGACCTATTTTTGGTTCCCTTTAACAGAGTCAATTGCACTAAAAATGGTTTTATTCATCGTCTTGCCAACTTTTTAAATAACCTTTCTCACAATTTTACGTTAATCGATGTTTTTCACCAGAGCCTTAGTTCATTCAAAACCAGCTTATCGCAATATTTAATACATAATACCAAGTGACTTATTTTCTGGGTGGGTTAATTCCTTTATTCATTTGTTTGTCTTTTTCTTTGTTTTTTATTTTTTGTCCTGCTTGTGTGCTTTCTTTTTTTCTCCCCTTTGTTCTGTGTTCTGTATGCATTTGAAAACGTTCCATTCATTAATTCTGTTTCATTCATATGCAACAAACATTCACTATCATTCATTAGGAAAAAAAATGATATGTTGTAGAACTGATTTTTCTACGACAGAAAAGAGTAGTTTGATCAAAAACTAAGTAACGGTGAATGAGATACAGATTTTTGAATATTTAAAAACTGGGGGAAAAGGTGTAAAATTGTGCTGTTACGCCCCTTTTCCCCCCAGTTTCTAAATATTCAATAATCTGTATCACGTTCACCGTTTCCCAGTTTTTCGTCAAACAACTTTTTTCTGTCTTAGAAAAATCAGTTCTACATCATATAAAAATTTTTTTCCTCCGGAATCTGCCAATTATTGTAACTTAGGGGTGTTTTTGTCAGGAACTAGATGGCTGGAAATCACTCACAGACTAAAAGATTGTTGCTCTTTAAATTTGAATATGAGCGAGCCCTATACAAATCTTATGTTATTAATTTGATTATTATTATTTTTAAATATTAAAATAGTATAGGTCAGTTGGCCGCAATATATAAACTGTGCCTAGCTGTAAATTGTAAGTGTTAACTGATATACAGGATCTGTTATATTTTCAACTTGTGTAATTGTGTAACGTACATTTTATCGTATTAAAAGTCTCGTCTCTGTTTTAATATTGTATTATGGCTGTACAGTATGTTACTTTCATAAACATACTGCAAGAGCGTGTCCGCTGTTTTAAAAGCATCGTTTCCAAAATAAAGTTGTAGTAATTATATAATTAATAGTATGCAATAGAAACAGCAAATCATTTTTAAGATTATAAAACGTCACCTTTATTTTCATTGTCATTCGTATTTATACAGGCTGTACAAACAATTGAAATTAAGAAGAATCATTTTTTAATATTGTTTTGTGAACAACTTTTAAAGGTCGTCAGAAAAGGGCGAATATTTTTTTTTTCTTATTTAGCTTAAATATTTTTCCGAACGCATGTAGGCGAATGAGAAAATAAAAATAACATTTTAATGATGAACATAAACAGTGTAATAATGCAATTAATAAATGTTTTAAATACGTCAACTTGACTTTTGTTTTCATTGTCATCACTTTCACCAATATACATATATATATATATATATATATATATAT